GGAGCCCTCAACACAAGAAGGATGTGTGCCCAGCTGGAAGAGATCACAAAGCGATGGACATCTCCCATCTCCCACTTTGCTGCAGGCTTGAAATTATTCTTTCCATCTGACAGCAGGAACTGCTCCCCTACCCTATCAGCTCCTCATGCATCCTACATTAATCTGGGAGCTGAGAAGGAGAGAGCACAGGACCATCCTTTCTCATGTTAATTATGTCCTCCCAAGCTTTCAGTCTGTCTGCTTCAGAGAGTGCTCACCTGGTGCCTGTCCACGGCAATGGCTGTGAGGGTCAAGGCAGAGACGTGGAGGGAGCAGTACTGAGCAAACCTACTGACATGGCACATCCCCTTCCCAAATATCCAGGTACTGTTCACAAAACGAGCCTAAAAGCAGAATACCATTAGTTTTGTGCACCCCCTCACATCTCCACATGCTTATAGATATCTGAGATACCTCTGGCACATAATTCCTTGCACTACGTAAGAGACATTTTTTAAACAGCAGGTTCTTTGTATAATTGTAGAACTTTCTGGCTACTGAACCCTGAAAAGGTAGGTTAGTGCTGCTCACTGGCCCAGCAATATCCTCCAGGACAACAGAGTGGCGCAGTACCAAAGGTGTTTGCTCTGTTTTATTCACGGTGTGTCCTTCTGCACTATTGAGCCAACACATTCACTTTTCCCTTTTAACCCCTCCTTACAGGATAGGACCGACCTGTACATCTCATCTCACTTCAAAGCAAATGACAGCTTTTCAATATAGCTTGTAAAATGATGGTGAACATAAATCTTTTTTTTTTTCAAGAGGTTCATAATATTACCTTGGAAATAATTCAGAGAAGGGAAGGGAAACAAAGAGCAGATACTACAAAGTGGTAACTAATCCCTGTGAGGTCAGTATTGTTCAAGTGCCGTTAGGGCATTAACAAATGGATAATTTCAGATCTTCAATTAATAACAGGAATTAGAGATGAAAAAGATAATGTGGAGTTTTCCAAAGATAACTCCAGTCGCTGTAATTTGGACTGGAGAGGTATCTGCAAGACACTCATGCACTGTCTGCAGTGGCATAAAGAAGACCACAGAAGTAACTGCGATGCCTTTAGGGCACCTGCGCCCCAGTCTTACCAGTGTAAAGGGCGTGTTGAGGAGCGTGATCATGATATCGGCTACAGCCAGGTTCACAATGAACAGGCTGGTGGCAGAGTGCATGCGCTTGGTCTTGATGATGACGTGACAGACCAGGACGTTGCCGAAGAGGGAGAAGACGATGATGAAGGAGTACGCCGCGACGAGCAGGGCTTTCACTGTGACGCTCTGCGACTCCGCTCCGTACCGGCTCCTGCCCACGAAGCTCTGCCAGTCGGCCAGGCTTTCGTTATCCCAGGAAAACGAACCCGAGATGTTTGGGATTACAAAAGGCTCCTCCAGACTCCCGTTGAGAGGCAACTTTCCTGGCGTCCCAAAGGCGTTAACCAAGTCGGGGAGGGAGAGCCAGACAAAACAGGACAGCATCTCTCACACGCCGCTCTGCTCCTCCAATTTGGAACCAGTTCATTTGCGAGATGTATGTGCTGTGTGCCGGGAGAGTGTCCTCCCCTCGCTCAGCCTGGGCGCGCTCTGGGGCTGCAAACACGGCGTGGAAGCAGTGGGAGCAGCTGGATGCTCCTGCCTTCTGCAGCGTGCTTCTCCCGCTCGGCTCACCGCGACTTTTGCTCCTCCAGCCAGCTTTATATCCCGACGCAAGCTCCGAAACAGGGTCTCCTGCAGCCATTCATTGGGCTGCATGACATTATTCCTGCTCTGACGTGCTGCTTTTCCACGCAGTCACGCTCCCCCAGGCGCTACTCCAAGATAAGCACATCTGTGAGAAAAGCAAATCAATCCCTCCCTTTGTCAGCATCCTTTTTCTCTACCAGCAGCCCAGCTCATGCCAATCCTGTGCTGTTTACAAACCAGCCGCATGTGTGACAGCTCTGCTCTCTTCCAGGACACAGTTCAAATTTAAGCTTAGTTTTAAAGGTCTAGCAGACAAGTGTCAGCCTATTTCACACTTACTAACTAGCACAGAATGGGGGGAACTGGGTAGCAGATGAACTGTGAATAACAAGTTGGCTGTATTTACAGTATTACAGACCTTTTTCACTCAGAGAAACACAAATACTTCAGCTTTCCCTTGGCAGGGATTTCTTCTTGGCCAAGGGAATAAAATGTTTGATGTAAAATGTGCTTTCTAGGGTTTGTAGCAATACAGATGTAGTTACAAAGTGGTGATTACAAGGGACAGAGGATGGGAAGAGATGTCCCAGCCCAGTGAGTCCAGTATCCAAAGCAACAGGCAGCCATAAGCTGGACCCAAGCACTGACAAGACGGCAGCATGTGTGTTCCCTGTGCCTTCCCCCAAAAAACACAGTAGGAAATTAAAATCAACATCAGGAGACCCAGAGCCACAATCCTACCCAGCACAGAAAGATGTGCCCCTCCACGAGTGTATGTTAGGTGTTGTTCCTCTGCTGGGGACAGATCTGCTTGGGTGATGTCAACCAACCTGTCCCAAGCAGGTTTTCTGAAGAGAAGGACTTGGGAGTGGCGGTGGATGAGAAGCTGAACATGAGCCTGCAATGTGCGCTTGCAGCCCAGAAGGTCAATAACCGTATCCTGGGCTGCATCAAGAGAAGCATGGCCAGCAGGTCGAGGGAGGTGATTCTGCCCCTCTACTCCACTCTCGTAAGGCCCCACATGGAATACTGAGTCCAGTTCTGGAGCCCCCAACACAAGAGAGACCTGGAGCAGCTAGAACAAGTCCAGAGGAGGTCACGAGGATGATCCAAGGGCTGGAGCACCTCTCCTATGAGGACAGGCTGAGAGTGTTGGGGCTGTTCAGCCTGGAGAAGAGAAGGCTCCGGGGAGATCTTATAGCGGCCTCCCAGTACCTGAAGGGGCTACAGGAAACCTGGGGAAGGACTTTTCATAAGGGCAGTTAATGACAAAACAAGGGGAAATGGGTTTAAGCTGAAAGAGGGGAGGTTTAGATTAGATATTAGGAAGAAGTTCTTCACTGTGAGGGTGAAGAACTTCATTATTATGGCTTTGCTGAATTTTTGAGCTTTCCTGGTCCAGGTGGATTGGAAGTTATACGAGTGAAAAGTGACTTTTCAAAAACAGTCCAGTGTGATCTCTGAGAAATAACGTTAATTTTCTGAGCATCTCATCCCCATATAACAAACCCCACTGACGATTACAAGTATCTGTTCATAGTACAGTCTTTCTACACGCACCAGGTTACATTTTCCCCCCCAAGGGATTCATCTTTATCTTCTACACAAGACAATTTGAGAACTGCTGCAGTTTAACACAATAAACAAAGCTGTCGTGAATCAGATAGCTGACTGGAAACAAACTGTGAACAAGGTAGAAAGAACCTTCGATATGATTCCTATTAATCCCATGTACTTTGCTAAAATCTTTGCCTAGGTTGTGCCTACAACATTAAAAGACACAGTCCCCTCAAGACCTTAGTGAAACAATAAACTAGACAAATTAAGTCTTTTTAACAAAACAGGTTTAATTTGGTGCAGTGGGTTGATCTTGGGGGGTTGCCAGGTGCCCACCAAGCCGCTCACTCCCTCTCCTTAGCAGGACAGAGGAAGAAAATTAGATGAAAAATTTGTGTATTGAGATAAAGGCAGTTTAATGGAAAAAAGTAAAGGTCATGTGCAAAAGCAAAGCATAAAAAAATTATTCTTTATGTCCCACCAGCAGGTGACTTCTAGCCACTTCAGCACATGCAGTGGTTGCTTTGGAAAACAAATGCGTTAATAAATGTGGTGTCCCCCTTCGGCTCTCCTTCAGTTTTCACTGCTGAGCACAACATCACACGGTATGGAATATCTCTGTGGTCAGTTGGGGTCAGCTGTCCTGGCTGTGTCCCCTCCCAATCTCTTGCCCACCCCCAGCCTGCTGGTCTTTGCAGGGGTGTTGGAGAAACAGCTTTGATGTTGTGGAGCACTGATCTGCAGTGCCCACAATGCTGGTGTGGCATCAGTGCCCTTCTCGCTGCAAATCACAGACTGGTGGGGGTTGGAAGGGACCTCAGGAGATGATCCAGTCCAACCCCCCTGACAAAGCAGGTTCCCCACACCAGGTTACACACAAAAGTGTCCAGGTGGGTTTTGAACATCTCCAGAGATGGAGACTCCACACCCTCTCTGGGCAGCCTGTCCCAGGGCTCTGGTACCCTCACAATAAAGTTTTTCCTTAAGTTTGTCTGGAACTTTGGGCGTTCCAGTTTGTGCCCATTGCCCCTTGTCCTGTCACCAGCCAACACCAAAAAGAGCCCGGCCCCATCCATTTGGCCCCCACATTTCAGATATTTATAGACATTGATAAGGTCCCCTCTCAGTCTTCTCCAGGCTGAAGAGTCCCAGCTCTCTCAGCCTCTCCTCATAAGGCAGATGCTCCAGGTCCCTCATCATCAGCACTGCCTGGGCTGCTCCAGGGAAAGCCAAGTGCACCCCAGCCAGACCCAATGCATGCAGACAGCAACAGAAAGCAGCAAAGTGTTTTAAAAATGTCACTCCCTCAGCCCATACAACTAACCTTTACAATTTATTTAACAGAAATAGTTTTATTAAAAAAAAAATATATATAAACCCTCATCTCAAAGGGTATTTACAGCAGCTTTTTAATTGCATAGGTAATATTACAGCTTCGACAGGCTTTAATGAAAAAAAAAAGAACCAGACTACCACATTTTTTGCTGGTATCTTAAGCATTTGTACTGCTTTGGAACTTGCCACTAAGCTCTACAGTAGAAATTTGCAGGTCTTGATCATTTATATGGAAGTCTTCAGGAAGCTCAAGGCTCATTGAGGTTCCCTGCTACAGCACATATGCAGGCAAAGTAACAACAGTCCTGTCAGTGAGAGCCAGAGAAACACAACTGCCCCATTCCAGCTCTTTGGAGAAGAAAGTGAAAATGCAAAGGCATGGCTGTAGCTACTCCACATATTTAGTGCTTCTCTGTCATGCTGGAGCACCAGCTGCTGAACTCTTCTGGCCTTTTCCTTGATCAGCTCTAATGGCCACAGCTTTAGAACAGCATTTTTTGAGGAGTGGGGTGTACAGAGGTGGAAAGAGAAAAGGAGGAGTAGATCTAGGTCTTGGCTCCTTCCATAGAAGGAGGGGTTCCCCCACTGTGAATACAATATTGTATTTTAAAAGCCTCATTTGGAGAATATTTGGAAAATAGTGATGACATTTTAGGAGAGTTACTGAAGTAGTGGGCTGATGAAACAATATCTGAAAAATGTCAATTAAGAAAAAGGTAAGAGGCAATGTCCTGCCCAAGACTGGTCCAATTGCTTTATTCTTCAAGCAGCATTCCTCGTGAAGCTGTAAGGTTCTAGCCCTCACATCTTCTTTACAGGGTAAAAGCTGACAACACAATTCAATCTGAAGTCTTTGGCACTTCTTGAATTACAGAGCAGAATTCATGCCTGTATACTGTGACATTTAATAACAGTGCAATGGTGGGTTTAGTTCTCTGAGCAGAGTTGAAAGGATTAGAAAATTTTCCAGCTTTTATACTGAAAACTGTATTTTTGGGTCAAACTATTACTCTTTAAAGTTTTCATCTGTATCCGTAGAAAACTGCAAATAAGTACAGGTTTCATTATGCTGACCGAGTCTGTGTCCATATCCACACTTGCATACTACTATAAATTTAGTCCTCTGCAAAATTCAAGCCCTAGAGACAGAGTTTTCTATAAAAGATATGACTGATACTTACATTATCATCCCAGAAAGAAAACAGGCTTTCAGAAGTTTTAGAACGAACTTGCAGTTTCAGGCAGTACTTCAGAATATTAGACACACTAGTCTAATCAAGCAACGCAACATCCAAATTATACCAAATTTGGTGCCACTGAAAAAAAAAAAAACAACCCAAAACCCAAACTAAAAAAACATTTCATAGAAGTGAAAACTGAAGACAAGCCACCATTTGCAGAGAAATGTCAGATACAGAATTCCTTGCAAACCGCTTTCCATTTTCTTCACTGACTTTCACGGGCTCTCTTGCACAGCAAGCCAGAAATCAAAGAAATCACTTCTTTCTTCTTGATGATGCAGCACTTTTGAATGGATCAAATTCATCCTGCAATTTGTAAACAGACAGGCATTACTAGAACTAGTGTGCGCTGAGTCACCTTGAGATTAAACTAGAAAGCCTGGTCACATTAGTCTATGTTTTCTGACAGACTTGGTTTTGTTGGTTTTGATATGGAAGAGATTATTCCTGGATTTAAAAGTCCAGATCACAAATGTGTAAAGAATAGAAACTGAGTTTATGTCAACGTGATTAGAACAGTTAGTTTGAAATGAAGAACAATCTATTTTCCAGGTGTGACCTAGGGAAATGTTATCATTACGAGCAGGACGTATCTCACTGAAGTTATGTCCATACACATACCACACATCATCATTTACTGAGATTTGCACCAATCAAAAACAC